CTAATTATATGAATTACTCATTTAACTAAAAGATTAATTAAAAAATGGTGAAACAGACTCCCTACTGTCCTTTATCCGGCCATCATTGGTACTGATTTTCCGCGTTCCGCTCACACGGCCTGACAAACGTCTCGCAGCCCTTTTTCTTTGTCATCGCTCGTTGGCGCTCTTCCGATAGTTAACTTTTCGCAACAACCAGCGTAACTGGTTGTTTGTTCCCAGTGTTCGAGCGGCCGACCCACGAACAACAAATTGAGCTGTTCGTGAACATACGGGAACAACCCGCCCGAACTCAGCCCGTGAGTCAATTTGTTTGTGATTGTGCATTTCGGTTTTCTTGTTTTAAAAAATCAATTATTTGAAGTTAATTAATTTGTAATAAGTGCATGACCCTCACAGTGTGTTTTTACTCCTGTGAGCACAATTTGGAATTAACAACATGTAAGACATACCTGTATTTGTTATTTAAATTCCAATTTGTTGTTATTACTACAATTTTGATTTTGAGATTGAATTTCAGATGTTGCCTCGAAATCACATTTTCTTGAATGAGAGATAGAATCATTTTATTATAAAAGGATTATAACATTTTCCTTTCTGAATTTTCTGCTATTTGAAATTTTTTTCTCCTGTCTCATAAACACGGTTTGTTGATGTTACATACACATACGGCAGCAAAACTCCACATCCTGTCCAACTATTTGTCAGGCAATCCAACACAGGCAAGATGGTACATCAAGGACACTTGTCACACGCCAACCAAGATATTTCCTGTAAACGAAATTCGATTTTAGCAACGTGTGTTATCGTTATTGCATTTTTAAGTATTGTAATACCCTAAATATGTTTAGGTTCCATAGTCCTTCTGCCCTGTAACACTGTTGACATATGGATTTATTTATGAAATGATTTTTCTCTTACATGACTAGCTATTTCACGTGAAAGTCATCATTTATCAAAAATAAATATATCAAAAATGTACAGTATGGAGTGATTGCACAACATGCCAACACTGTTAATATCTGAGGATATTTATTGTAAATTAACTTCATGGCGTTTCTTTTTCTTACATATTAAATGTTGTAAAACTTGATTAAATTTCACAATTAAATGCATCACATAAATGCCTGCACCATCCTCTTAGCCACCTTTACCCATACGTTATCAGTATACTTTCTCTCAAGTGAAAATCAAAATATTTGTTATTCAATCTTAAATTTGTTACATTGCCTAAACAGTAGTAAATCCCTATGGTTTCCCCTTGATAAATTTCTATTTCGCTCTTTATTTGATTAAAATCATTTTGTTCCGGAGGGTCCATTTTAGGGCCTTCAGTCAAGGGTTCCTGGAAATATTTAGACAAGTCAATATTTAACTATACTGCTTTTATTTTCTAACCTCAACTTTATTGTACTGCCCTCAGTCACTCACATGCATTTCAAAACTTAAAAAAGTACAGCTTAGGAAATTACAATAAAATATGTCAATTCATTGTTTGATTTACCACGGCCTTTCCACCCACATAGCGTGAGCGTAAAATAAGTACCGATATGCGGTTTTTTCTAACTCCACTCATGCGTGTGACGTCACACAAGATGGCGCTTCCCGTGTACGGAAAAAGACGTGATTCCGTGCAGAAGTAATCCTCAATACAAAACAGATTAACTCACAGAATTATCTGTCTGAATGACGCAGACTGTAAAACTAATTTTTTCACTCAGAAATCAACATTGAATAGATCGACATTTGCCTCCAGGAATTTTTAACGATGAAATTTTCTATGACTTGGTTAACGTACTTGCGTGCAGTGTGGACGACGAAAAGATTAGAAACAGATAACTGGGGGGTTGTCCGAAGAACCAGTATATGCAAATAAAAAGCCAATGTGTAACAAGTTCAAAATGATTCATTTTGTCACTGGGACAGACCACTGTATCTGAAACTGCGACTATGAAATGTACGCTAAAATCACTTCCCAGCGTAAAGAATTTTGGTTGCCTCGTTGCTGGTAAACGGCATCCTTAGCGCATACACTGCAGTACGGAAACCTATAGCCTTCGCGCTGAGCGCGCGCTTTACAAAGTTTGCTGGAAATACACATTACATGTACAGTGTGTTTATCAGGGGTTGTGCTTTAGTCACGCGTCTACATATCGGGGGGGGGGTCACAAAATGAGCTTCAAATTTCACCAAGAGTCACTAGGGAAATTCTGCCGAATTTGCATCGAAAAGCTCCATCCAGGATTGAGAAAACCAAGTCGGAAACCAGTCTCTTGCATCAATATCCGTAAGAAAATTTACAGTGTTTTTCGAGTGAGCACCTGGAAAGACTGTTCAAACGAGCATCCTGCTTTTCTTTGTGAAAGGTGTTCTAAAAACATTCCGCATTTATACTGCTGGCACAAGAAATATTGATAAACTGCGATTGAACCAAATTGTGCTATCAGATTGGCTAAAGCATAAACTACAAGGCGACTGTTTTGTGTGTGATCTGGTAATGAAACAAGGGAAAGGAGGAGTATCACACAAAAGAAGATCCAATACCCTACCAGCAGCCTCTCTTGTGCCACCTTCACAATGGTCATTTAATATTACTCATGAGAACATCTTTAAATATTTGAACAAAACCTTGACATAAGTTCCAGTACCCATTAGTTTGGACCTGATTAACAAGAGTGGAGGCATAGTATTTTCTCTTAGGAAACGGTCGTATTCGCAAGCTTCGAGGCGAAAGATTCGAGAGTAAATATCGAAAGGGTACTTCCACCTACCTTTGACCAGATTGCAAAGCTTGGATCCACGAAGTGGCAGTAAGCATGAATTCTTTCTTACTTTCTCCTGTAATGTGAAGAGACACATTTCTGTATTTTATGTGTAAAAAAAATAAAACACTTTAACCGTATTTAGGCGAAATCAACACATTTAACTCAGAAAAATTATCTCCACTTTATTAGCAATTTGGAGGGCAAGGTCTATCCGAGTATTCTGCTTCGGCGATTATGAGCTGCTGACAAAGTTGTATGGCGTATGTGGATGCAATGGTAAGCTGTAGAAAAATTTACTTAGAGAGCAAATGTGAGCTACCTGACTTAAATACACTGAAAATACACAAAAGACAAACTACTATTCCCAAACTACTATTCCTGGACCAGCCTTGCTTCTTTATTAGGGGCAAGCACATCTTGACTAGGCACATGGATGCATTGACAGCTGGTAACCTGTGTGATTAATTTGTTTAAATTCTTAAATAGCATTTTACATGTATTTCCCTTCACATGTCAGCTCGCCACTGCTGTTTATACTGTACAGCAGGCAAATCTGTGATGCAGGAACAACTGTTTGAGAGAGGTCGACGATCATCACGTACATTGCAAATCATCGGAGCAACTTATAACCACTTTTGGCAAGATGAAAGACTGCAGAAGAGAGCCAAAGACGTTTCATTCAGCATTGCCCATCGCCTTCTCGTGCCCATTGAAATTGATCATGTATGTTGTAGAAATTCAGATTCATTTGCTTGTTTAATCACCTTTCGAATGTTGTTAATACCATATCGTCAGTGTTTTCACGAAGAGGCGAATTTCACGAAAAATCGTCTCTGTCGATTTTTATTCTTTTTGTGAAAACGATCAAATAGTGCAACATCTACAAGACGGTGAAAGTAAAATATAAAAAAATCATCAGAAATCCGTAAAATAAAAAATGACAAATTTGTAAATTTATCCAAAAGTGCCAATTTTCGTTTTCACGAAGGGGCGAATTTAAATTCGCCCCTTCGTGAAAACGCAAGCCCATGGGTCAAGGTTTTCACGAAAAGGCACTTCAACCTTTTTCTCTGCGCTCATGAAGATCAACGAGAGCAATGTTTAGCGTATGGTTTTAGCTCCCGTACAGTACAATAAGTAAAGGCGCGCATGACCAGTCATGTAATGCCGCGTGCATGCATAGCATATGGGAACGATGTCAAATAAGCAATATGGCGTCTAGCAACAACTGGCTGCAGTCCCGTCCGTCATTAATTCTGTCCTTGAACTTCCAGGCTGAATATACCAAAGTGAGTGTGGAATTAAGAGTGCATTCTTGTCCTTCCATGAATATTGAAAAAATCACCTTTCCCTAAACGCTACTTAGCTCATATTTAATTGACGCTCAGTTATTTACGCAAACACTGACACTATTTAGGTCGGGCCTAGCCCTAGGTCGGGCTTAGGCTACATGTAGTTCAAGCCTACTAGTAGTAGGCCTACTACCATTGTGCGAGGCTAGGCCTAATCATGCCGTTTCCTCATGAATGTGGCGGTCTTAGAGTCTCGAATTCCTCGCGGAGTGTTTGACTATTGGCAAGCTTTTTTGTGACAAAAATAAAACTTGTAGGCTATAAAATAGTGGTTACCTTGACACATGCTTGACAAAATAATATTGATTGACATTGCATTAGGCTAGCACTAGCAGATTAGTCTGGAATTCGAGGCGTCAGGGAATTAAGCAAAAAATTGGCTGGTTCATGTGGTTGCCTTTTTGAAAACGTAGACCCTACCAATACTACTACACTACTTGCTCATCTTGTAAAATCAGATGTTAACATTCCACACCTTTGAAGTTAAAAAATTCTGATGAACCTTCAGGCCTAAAAGTTTTTTCAAATGCCAATCTAGAAAATCTAGAAAAATTTTTGTCAGCAAACTGGTTATTTTGAAGCTAAACATTGGGTTTGCTGAAACAACAAATACGCCCAAACTGCATGTTTAGAAGCAACATGTGCAAACATTTCAAACAAGGCTTGATTTTTGAGGTGCTTACTTAAGTATCTAGCCTAGTAGGTTATGGTTACAACGTGGCATTATTAGGCCTACTGCCACATTTTAATTTTTTGAAAGTGTATCCTGTGAAAAATAAGTTTAGCACCAGGTGTCAATAAATCACAACTGGGCTCCTCTGTAAATCAAAGAAGTAGGTTGTTTTCCCTAGTATTGTCATAATAATAATTCCAACATCTGCATGTAAGTTCTGGCAAGATTAGTCACACTCACGGAGTGAAAATTTTGACCAGCCATGAATTTTTCAACTTTTTAACATTTAGAAAATTAACTGAAGGAAATTTACATTTTTTAAATTGAAGCAGCTTCCCCGTCATGGATGTGGTGGTTTTTTGGGATGGGTTAAAAAATGTTGTGTCCACTGCAGATTTGAAGTTTGATGGTGTCCTGCGGAGAGGGTCATCAGTTACCATGCTGTGGAATGATGGCGAGTGGAAGGGTACCATCATCGATATGGAGGAGTCACCTCCCAACTCTAACACTGAGACTGACGATGATGATGAAATTCCGCTATCGCAGTATTTGTCGTCCAGACTCAATGGTGAGCTTATTCAGAGTTAAATTTAAAACTGTAACTCCAAAAAACTGTTGTTAAATGAGAGTGATTATTGTCATGTGCACTGGTGTTGGAAAAGACAAATCATGGAAAAACATTCAGCTCACATTAAAAACAACCACATGTATAAGGGTGTTATAACTACACTCATTTTATTGAAGATTGCTCTGAATTTTGACACCTTTACTCTGAACCTTATGTTCTGATCGTTTTTCAATGTTCCGACTAATTGTTTAATTCTGTTGTTCCGTTACTCCGTCGTGAGCATTGTTGTATTTTTAAATTTTTCAGGCAGCAATTCCAGAAATTCTTTTCTTTTGATAATTTCCATATGCAAGTGCATATATATGTACACATGTATCCTGGTTACAATAACGCACACATCAAGGACCCCTCCCTTTTTAAAATGGCAGCCATGCCAATAGACATAAAAAGCATTGTTATATAATCTGCATTATTGTCTTTTTTGTTTTGTTTTCTTGTTTCTCAAAGTTTAATTTCTCAAAGTTTGTTGCTTTCATGCCAGAATATTTGTGTTCATATTTTGCAGGTGGACCAATACCCTTGGACAAGATGTCTGGAAATGACGTTCTTGAAGGGCCAGCAGTTTGTGGGGAATTCCAGTGCAAAGATGAAGTGTGGGCTGCCTGCCACCA